TCGGCGTTACTTCCGGGGAATCATATGTGTGAATCTCTCCTTTAGGTGTGTGTCAACCTCGACATTCCTGGCCCGCTACAATTATACATCACATCTGTCAATTTATTAATGCTGCCTATAATGTAAACATCATGGTCCCCATCTGTTACAATATTTTATGAGAACTATGTGACTTCTTCCTCAAACCGTAGGCAAAAACGTAATTTACCTTAAACAGGATGCACACAGCACGCTGTTTGTAAAGCTTGAATTCAAGTGTAGCAGTCAGTACGTATCAAAATTAATCGGCACTTTAGAAATTTTTTTAAAACCGAAAGATACCATTTCCATATGTATAAAATTTAAAGAAGGCGTAATTTTCAACCAAACGAATACGAAAAATAATATTTTCCTTTATGTTTTCCATAAAAAATATTTGAATGTATAAAGGCAGTCACAATCAATGATTAAAATCGCATTCTACTTATTTAGCCCCTTTTCATAGTACATACGTTTTGTTAGCTGTCATAATGAAGCTCGTTAAAAAGCCGGAATCCTATTGTGACTGAAATGGATTCAGAATAGACTGCACGATAATCAGTATTAAAACTTTATTCAGTGCCGATTAGCGAAAGAGTATACATGTTTCGCATATGTCGGCAAGTTACACCAATTCTAGGCCTTACTGTAGAATTTTCGAACAATGCCTCAGAAAATTTTTCCCTGTTTGTTCTCTTTGCCCAGTTCCATTACTGGCATCGCCATTCGTTTGAAATGTTCTGCTAAACCAATGCATTTCACAGCTGCTCTGTACTAACATGGATTTCGGAGGCATTTACCTATATTTCCCTTGATAAACCTGACCTGACGTGACCGAAATACCTAAATGTAACAGGGGATTTTATCTTAATTTACAAGACAATACACGGTCTTGAGAGAGGATTGTGTTCGAGTACATGCTTTAGTGGCACCTCTCACCTCGTCTCCTTGGACACACTATGGAGCAGTGCAGGAAGATGTCCAAGGTTAATCTTCGCTCGGCATTCTTCACGTAACGGGCCATAAAACAGTGGAATAATTTCTCGCAAACAGTCGTGGAGGTCAAGTCTACACAGCTGTTCAAACAACGCATTCATTATTATATGTGTCCCCTGTTACCCATCGACAGTATGAATTCGGATCAACGCCACACAAACTCCAGACGAGAGTTATTTGTAAAAACAATTCTACTCACTCTTCGTGAATACTATTTATTATTGAAAGAATTTAGGCACGCGTGTACATATGTATATCACGCAGCGACATGTACTTAATCCGGTATTCAAGGACATTGTCTATTATCCTAAAAAAATCAACCTAAAATTCAAATAGACCGATTGCTACTGACTGACAGAAAGGTATCATTTTGTCCTGAAGCTTTTTATAAATGTTGGTATACCCTGAACACCAACCATCAGAATTTGTTCGTACTACTTCGTCCTCTGTTTTTGTTCTGGAATTCGGTGATAGTATTGTTAGAATCATGGAATGCAGTAGGACAAATCAGGTAAAGCAGATAAAAATTGTCAATTGTATACATTGCAACTTCTAAATTATACGCTCAATCTCTTCATTCAGACACATTAGAACTGTCTACATCATCCGTATTTTGATTATTGCCTCCATATTAACTTTCTCTGGATTGTGACTTCTACTATTTTCTCAACGTCAAACTTAACTTGATCACTCAGACAAGTAGCAAATTGAGCTTTAGAAAGTAGATGATCAGAATTAATCTCACTTAACCGCGAGAGTTTCGAAAAGATGTTGGTGCGGATGAGCTGGCTCTGGAGGGGCGTTTAAATCTTCATTATACCCGAATTCCTAAATTATAAACCATTCAAATGCCACACGAACAATCGTTCGGTGGAAAAAATGACCACTGGACGATTCGCGTACTCGGTCTCTGATTCCTTGTACAACCGATCCTCCTCAGTATGGTATAAAACATCAATGGCTGTTTAGCTAAGAAGAGTACAGTTCACACGAAGAAAAAGATTGGTTGTGTTGATTAAATAGGCAGTATCAGTCGAGATGGGGTCCTGCAATCCACCTTCGTTTGCAGGGGTCATTTGTAACGATGGGCATGGAAAATCGCTATCGACATTGTGAGGTAAGTCGACAAATATTTGATTCATTTGACCCACTTGTAAAAAGTCAGCGGACTCCGCGTGATTCGAAAACTCGCCAGCAAATGGAAGGCTTAAATACAGCCAACGTTCAAGCCAATTGAGCTACCAGGTCCCCACCGAGAGCTATAAGTTTCACCATACTTGGTCCCGGATGAACAGCTGCAGATCTTCAGGTACTTTAGCTGAACATCCCCAACTTCACCAGTAAACTATAAAGATAAAGGTGTAAGAGAACGTCTTGACAGTCCAGGTGTATGAAGTGATGTCAGAAGAAGCAAAAGCATTCACTGGAAGAGGGTTATTTCATGCTCCACATCTTTTGGTGCTATTTATCGTCCGCCCATCTTCAGAGACTGAACATTCCGGTGCAGATTTCTCAGTATATGTTGTACTGATTTCGCGTGCATAGCCTGCCAATACTCGCTGCATATGGTACGAAACTCACTGCCATTGTTGTTCCCGCAGCCCTCGTTCTGGTATGGCTACGTCCACTGCCGTGTCGCCAGAGCTCATTTCGCCCCCGCGCACAATCCCTGCCTGTTGCATCTCGTCGGTGCACCTTGTAGCGCACCAGTTCTCGGACGACTAGCGTTCCCACTGCTGCCAATATGAGCGGTACACCTTAGCAGTGCAGCGGGTTCTGATGAAATAAGGAAGAGGAATTGATTTTATTTGCCTGTTTTTGTTTCTAGCGCATAGTTTATGATTTGAGAATTGCGACCAGCTGTAGAAGAAGTGATAACCAGCAGTTGTTTTAGCCCCTTATCTAGCCTCTTCCACAATGCAAGGACAGGAAGTGTTGCCCCTTAATAGGGTTGCCTGGACATCCTAGATGACTACCGAACGCCCTTAGGGGTTAAGAATAGGTTATTAGTAGCAGGAAGACCCAGGAAGGCGAGGATGAAAGTGTAGGAGAACATTATGCCGCTCCAGGTGTAATAGTTATGATTTAAGCGGACTCATCGAATTAAAAAAATCCAATTGCAACCATGAATATGCAACTTCCAATAACATAAATGAAAATTATGCCATATTTATGGTAGGTCGCCTTCTCGGAAGTCTATGAAGAAAAAACTTTAGTGATAGAAGTTAGCAGTGCCAGATTCTTATGGAATACATGAAGCAGCAATGAAATGATATCCGCAGGGCGGAAAGCACAACCTGAATCTGTTCATTAAGAAAAATTGATAAAACCAGAAGGGGAACGGCCTATAAAGGCAGTTGAAGTGACTGACAGTTGGAAGAAGGCGCAGGATTTCTCGGTGGCAAAGCTAGAGGTATAAAATTTCTTACAGATAAAGAAGAGGTTGAGGCCTTTTTTGGAGCAAAGGAGGTTGACCATTTCTCATACACGAGTAAGGAGGAGGTTGAGGCCTATTTGGTGGCAAATATCGGGACACAGAAGAAGACGCGGAAGGAGGCAACTGCCCCCTCTCCAAGTCTGCAATAATGTAATCACAAATGGGACGACTGGCGGGTTCTCGTTTTAAGCACTTATCGGCTACCGCCTTTACGGGTTCAGGAGTATCGTCAGGGAACTGAAGCGGACACCTGTTCTCATCGAAAGCTTTTTTCAAGGCTCCGCTCAGCTCGGTATTGGGTATATCAAAGAAGGGTACGTGCCCGAGACTGTATGCCTCCCAGAGGACAATAACATGGGTCCAGATGTCAGATTTAGTGCTGTAATTTTCTTTTTTCGCCAACACCTCTGGCGCAGACCACTTTACAGGCACCTCTACACAAGGATAGCAAGAACCCTCCCTTCGACAGAGTCCAAAGTCACCGATCTAAAAGCGTATTATAGGTCTAGTGTGATA